TTTAATGCAATAGGAAACGTTTGTGCAATGGGGGTGAGGCAACATTTTATCTAGCGGATAGTTTCCTTTTGTGGTAGATTCGACTCGGTGCTTAGTCAAATGCGTAGGGATCATCGGCATAAGGATTGAGGGAGCCTTCTGAAAACAGATCTCCAATATTTGCGGAGCGCGCATGAGCACTTATGGCTGTCACCTGTTTCATGTACAAGAGAGAGACATTCAATGTTGTAAGAAGCTCCAAGCACAGCAAAATAAGGAGAGGGTCTCAGTTTAGAAGCCTAGACTAAACATGCCATAAATGTGCCCGAAACAAATGTTTTTCCGCAATTTAAACACCTTCAAGTTACAGAAAGTATGGTCGAAATGAACTAGTCTACTTGAGTGGTATTAACCCTCCCTGCTTCGGAACTAGTTCAATTGACTGCGATTTTTACATTCCAAATATTTTGTAAAGTTTCAGGATCTATCTTACCTTAGCAATACTTCTGGGGGTCTTAGCTTTCGGTGTAACCCGAGACAATCGCCTCTGTGGCTCCTGTAGCCAAAAAAAGGTGAATCCCAACTCAGAGAAGATGGTTGTTGAACATATCTGAATATTTAAGATGAAACAAATCAAAGGGTTGATGCGCAGAATAGTTTACCTCAAACATGACTGTGCCTTTTGTTTTCCTTCGTTTTGTAGCCCTCCCATTGTTCGTTTCAACTTTATATTCACGACGGGTCACCTGCCAAGTTGAACCATGTAACAAATGATGAGGCCGGGAGCTGAAGTAAAAGTAGTTAATAAAGGGTTTCAATGTTTTACCTTGCTGTGATGCTTTGGACTGCTCATTAAGCTTCTTGTATTAACCTTTTCAACTTTCTTCAACATCTTTGTCACAGGTGTTTCTGTTGCCTTCACAAAAGGAGAGTCCTGCATTTCATCCATGAGGATGTATGTATAGCAGACTTTGACCAAGCAGAAACAATATACAATGGTATTTCATTTTCTACCTGTTCATCGTCATGCACTGCTATATGCTGACTTCTCTTGCTACCAGCAGGACGAGAACCTCTCACTTTGACAGATGAGACGGAATATTCCTACAAGATGATTAAGTTATCAAAATCAATATATGGTTTGTGTTTTACTAAATGTGATGATATATAGTAAATAAAGTATTCTTTTAGTGGAACAAAATGATTTGCGGTCTAACCTTCCTAGAGCTCACTTCCTGCTCTTCAGGCGGTTTGTCACTCATAACCCTCCACTGCATTTGCAACAAAGCTCTTTGCCTTTCTTCCTGTAATGATAACTCATTAAGTCATTAGGTTTTAAATCTTGACAGGCGCATCTTATAATGAATATTGATAAACACTTACCTTTGATCTCTGAAGATCTAATTCGTCTTGCAGCTTTTTGCAGTCATCTTCGTACTGACACTTGAATGCTTTCAATTGTACATCATGCTCGTCCCTGAGTGTTGTTATCCTCTGCATGAAGATAAAAAATTACTTGAGTGCCAGAGGCTTCATATTCCAATCCAACTATCAAATTATGTCTGTTGGTACCTCTTTTAATTCAGTTTCAGCCTGAATCTGAGCTTGTCTCAGTTGCTCATCGTGCTTNGCTTTGAGATTGAACTCCCTATTTTCATGTTCCTCNCGAATAGTGAGTATCTGCAGAACATACAACTTTATCAGCCAATTTGCTACTTAAACCTTCTCAGTGATAAACTTCCAGAAAAACAGAGAAAAGGGACTTTGATTCAGATATCTCCATTTTCTGCTACTAAACCTATAATTCTGAGGGGGTTGAAATCTCAGAAAATTCATGCTTGGTGATGTTCAGAAACATCAGATTTAAGAAGAGATTACTATACCAGAGAAGCATGATCCTCCTGAATGGTCAGCATTTGCTGCTTTGATTCGGCTTTACAGTCTGAAAGTTCTTTATCATATTTTGTAGATAAGTCTTTGATAACCTTCTCAACCTGAAGTCAAAACCAGAAACATCACAGAGACATGATCAATTGCTCAGCCGATTTACAAGAAAAGTTTATGTCAGCAGATACCTTTTCCTTTTCAGCATTGATAATTTCTTGCTTCTCCTCATCATATTTCCTCCGGATTTCATTAATTGCCTAAAAAGCATCAGAAGAGCATATATGTCAAATTTTGAAGTTGTGTTATACTTTGATTCAATTAAGGACTCTTAACAAATCCTGACATGTGGAGAAAATGATCCAATATATACCTGGTCATTCCTCTGAGATAATTCCTTCAAATGCCTTGATAATTCCAACTGTTTATTTTCCAGCATCAGATCATATTGCTTCTTCGCCTCAGCAAGCTTCGTTTCTGCAGCTGCCAGAAGCTCCTTGTCCTGCATTGGGGTTCGTATTTGAGGAGTATTAGAAAGGTGGATAGAAACCATAAAGCCTTGTCCAATATCCAACTTCTTGTACCTCTGTGGTTTGCTGGTCCAACTTCTTTTCATTTTCCTTGCATTGTTGGATAAGAAGCTCTTTCTCTTCAATAACGCTTTGGAGCTGGTTAACCTCTGTTGACAATGAATCGACTCGCAGCTGATTGCTCTCGTTTTCTAGCTGCAAAGTCTCCATTTCTTCAGCCTTTTTCTGTGCATCAGCCTCCAGCTTCTCATAGTTCTCTTCGCTTTCCATCTCTAATGATGAAAGCTTCAACGATAATTCTTGCTGCAGGATACAAGGACAGACTAAGCACTGCAACCATGCATTGATAATTTGAGAAAGACAGCACAAAGAGAAGGAAGATATTTATACCGTTCTATTCTCTGAGGCCCTCAGATTTTCCAACAAAGCTTCTATTTCCTCTTTGAGCTTTGAGATCACTGCTTCTGTCTCAGCATTTTTTGAGACTAGACACTTTGCTTCAGACTCCAGCTTTTCAATTGCCTGCCTTGCAGAGCAGCGTTCCTCATCAAGTTGGGAAAGTAATGTCGCTTTAGCTTTCTGCAGTTCATCTTTTTGTTCATATAACTCATTGCCAGCTGATTGCAGAGCTTCCTTCTGGACAGTTACGTTCAAGAATTCTCCTTGGAGTTGCTCGAATAATCTTTGAGCACGATCAGAAGTAAGATCTCTATCCTTTTGGAGCAACGTAAGGTGAGTGCCATATAAACCATTTAGCTCATCAAACTTTTCCATAAAGGCCAAGTTCTTTTTGTCCAGTTCAGNCAATTNGGTTGCCAAAGAGTGGACAAACCCCTCAAGTTTCTTGACCTCCTGGTCTGAGCTAATCANTTTCTCAGATAGATTATCAGCACTCAGCTGAATATTCAGCNTTTCTTGCTCCAACTTCTCCTTGATGCCAACAAGGCATTTGGCCTCATCTTCTTTTGATGTTAACTCAAGACGCACCTTCCCAAGTTGGANGTTTAAATTCTCAATGNTGAGTTTTGCTTCAGCTACAGATGCTTCTGAATTGATTATCATAGCATCTGCAACAGAATAAGAAGATTAATGCAAATACCACTACTATCACATATAGCTGTAACAAGAAAAGGAGAAATAAAAAAGAGAATAATATTTGCAGTGTGTATCTTTATTGTAACACTAAACACAATTCTGTATCTTTATNTGCAGTGAGTTGTTCAAGCTATTTGGTATGCGGGGTACATGTTTAAGCTATTAAATTAGATAGAGCATGGATATACTGCATAGAAATGACAGTGTGAATCTTAAGAAGAAGAAATTTACCTTTCTCCTTAATGAGACTTGCAGTTCTACTCTGCTCATCTAGATAAGAGTTTTCTCTCTGCTCTTTCTCGAGTTTGAGCTCCTCTAGTTCCTTCTCTCCTGCATTATTGACATAAATGTAACTAATATGTCTAACAATATCCAACAAAAGAGCAATAGAGACATTTTAGTAAACCATAGTGAAGCAACTCAATCGTTTTCAAATTAAAGGTTTTCCCATGAAAGAAATCAACAAAAAANTGTCTAAAACAAACCAGAAACTTACGGATTTTTATGTTTTCTTCAGCAGCACCCAATCTTAAACATAGGTCTTGCATTTGNTGCTTTAGATTGTCTATTGCTTCCGAACTAGAAGAGAATTTGGACTCAAAAAACTCCTTGTCCTTCTCAGCTGCAGAGGCAATATAGGAACCAGCTAAAGCAAGAAACTATAAGTAATTTCAAGAATCCAAGGACCAGTGTGCATCTATCATTACCTTCTTGAACCTGTGAAGCCAAGTGCTGCAGTGTCTCAGTNAGTTGATCACACAGTGTCTTCGTTGAAGAGAATTTGGACTCCGTCCCTCTCCAAAGCTTTTCATCTTCCTTTTGCATTACTCTTAGCTTAGCATTCTCATTGAAAGCGTTCTGCAGTTTTTCCTCTAATGCAAGTATATGATCCATCGACTTTTTCAGCTTAGAATTCTGGATCATGGAAAAACATCAGAACTGTCTATTAAACTCTGTCTAACTACATTTCTGGTGATATATCATAAGAAATCCACAGTAACTCGAGCTTATGGAATATCGATGACAAAATCTATCCAAAACTAAGATGTTCTCGAGGATAATCAAANACTTGCGAAATTAAGCAGAGAGATCTGCGTTTTCCTGCTTATTCAGGTTAGATACTAAGCAGAATAACGGAAACCAGAAACACAATCCTAACACTAACAACAACACCACCATACATACCTCATAAAGCACATCGATCAAACTTTAAAGTTTGTAAAGACGCATTATGTAAGAAGAAAACGTGATAGCATTCGAAATACCGCCAGTTCGAGATCGGATTTCATAGAAGCCTGTTCCTTCACCAATTTCTCTGGAAAAACGGAAACGCAGACATCGCGATCATCAGAATCGCTCGATTTCAAAAACAATCGAAACGAAATCCTCAAAATCAATCCACAAGAAGGAAAATACCTGCAGTAAGCTTCAGATTCGAGAAATTTCCGGAAGAAGAGACGGAATCCTGAGATTGACGCGACGAGAAGGAGAAATTCTTCGCCGATCCAGACAACGAACGGATCTGATCCAAGCTCTTCATCGCTGGAAAACCTATCTTCTGCATCTCGACACTTCACGAACACAAATCGTAA